GGGGTCTCTGCGGGGGGGTTACGGGGGAGCAGGTCCAGGGGGGGCCGGGACGTCGCAGGTCCTCCCCGCTCCCCGCTCCCCACAGCGAGCCACGGGACAGTCTGTGCCGGAGCGCCGGCCGTGGCGAGAGCCTCCCGCCGGCACCGCTGGCTGGGGGCTGGCAACTGGCGAGGTCCATGGCTAGGTGGAACATGGCTATTAAAATCCAAGCATGGCTTCCGAGCGGGCAACCTGACCTGCGGACAGACGGCGACAGCGTTAGAAAGGCAAGGGAACGCCCGCGCCCTCCCCCCCGGCGCGGCGCGCCCCAGCCCCCCGAAACGGCCCTCGGCATCGCGGGAAGCGGTGCCGTCGTCCTCCCGCCGCGCTCCAGCCCGCGTCCCCCGAAACGGCACGGCAGGGCACCCCACCCCCGCCCTCCTCCCACCGCAAAACCCACCACCGCCACCAAGGCAGATCAAGAACCCCATCCGAAACCGCGACTTTGCTGCTTTTCGGCGGATCTGTGAAGGGCGTGAACGACTCGAGGATGGGTTTTACCACCAAACGCCCCGAGGAAGCGGCCAGCGTCTGCGTTGCCCAAACTCAGCCCTTTTAGATGAAATACCCAAAGCAGACGGCACAAGCGGAGTGCCAGCAGCCAGAGCCTTCGCCCTGGCGTCTCCGAGTCGCAGGGGTATCGGGGAGCCCGACCCCTGCTCCCCGGCTTTCCAACCCAAGGTGCAAGGAGCAAGCCCACAGAGGACGGCGGTATTAACCCCTCAACGAGCTGAAGCAGAAGAGTCCGTGGACTCTTGCGTTTGCACGTGTAACCCATCTCCTACTGAGGAGGTCACCCACGCCGCAGCAGGAGCATCCCCTCCCGCGGAGCACGGTACCCAGTGCCAAATGCGACCCCGCAGCGCAGGGACTCGCCGGCCACCGCGCCAGGCGTCTCCTCAGCGGAGCCCCTGACCTCGCGGGGGAGGACATGCAGCTCCTTCCACTGCCCTCTCTTTCACCGAACAGCTGGAAATCACGCTGAACTGTGGGCGGGCTCGGTATTTAAAATTCAGCTTTGATGTAACGTGCCACCATCACATCGCATCACGTCACGTCCAAGCCCTCTCCCTTCCTCAGTGGCACCGCACCTCGCGAGGCTCTGCTCCACTCGCATCTCCTCCTAAGATGCTACTCCACGTGAAGCACGGCGTTGTGCCTTGAGAAAATAGCCCATACACACGTTTTTCTTGTTCTCTTTTTTTTTTTCCTCGCCCCAGAAAAAAAATCATTAGACCGAAGCCCAAAAATCTTTACTCCATTTTATTCAGCTTTTACACAAGAAAGACTTTTGTCCAACTCAGCAGGAGTTAATGAGAGCTTTATATGGCTAAACAGGCTAATCCTCCGCAGCACTGCGCCCCGTAAAGTCCTTGGTAGCACTACAAAATGTGCATCTGGTTGACAGAAGCATTTGTACACTCCCTCCATGCGTGAGCAAATGAAGCTAAAGGAGCTGACCTGGATACTCTCAGGCACAGTCTTTTTCTGCTCACAGGATCTCTTTTTTTTTTTTTTCCTAATTGGGTATTTTTTCAAAATGTAACAGCATTTATTTTGGGGAGGAATAAGGCAACGCAGGGAAAGAGCGCAGAAGGAGAAAGGGAAGAGCCAGAAACAGACAACATAAACCAAAATAGTTCAGGCTGGGGGAGGAAGAATTTCAAGGCTTCAAAAAAACCAAACCACCAAAAACACGCTGTTGGTGGGGTTTTTTTTTTAGAGGCCGGCAGAGCAGTGGCAGTGCCGCGGTGGGCAGCACGAAGAGCATCCCCCACGTGCCGCGCATCGGCAGTGCCACAGGCAACACGCCGTCTCCACCGGCAAGGAATCGGGAGCTCGGGCTTCCAGCAAGAGCGTTAAACTCAGATTCACCTTCCCAATGCTCACATTCACTCCGGTGGCACATCAGGCTCGATTTCAGCCTCTGCCCGATTCCCTAACGCCATTTGAAATGTCTCCTGGCAAGGAAGGAGAGGTGCCCGGCACCTCCCCAGCGCTACCCTCAGCCCAGGTACCACCTCTTGCACCCAAACCTCTTCCCTGCCCTCTGCCAGCAAGCAGCACGCACGGCACGCTTTTATTAATAGCCGCTCAACGAGGCGAGGGAAGATGCGCCCAGCCCAAACTTGGTGCTCGCTAAATCCCAGCTGCTGTGTGGAAGCTTCTGAAAGACAAAATGCCAGCCCTCGGTACTCAGGATTGGCAGCTTGCAGGAAAAAACAGATTTTTTTCCCCTCTTCCCGCTTCCTCCCGGCTTGCTCGTGACATACTCGAGCTGCAGCGACGGCAGCCCCGAATTCGCGGGGGTCTGCTCCTGCGCCGGACCTGCCTGAGCATCGCTGCCTCGCTCCCCGCAGCGCCAGGAGGACGCGTGGGAAAACACGACGCGCAACCCCCGGCTTCACCCGGGTCACACCAGAAACTCGCGCCCGAGCGTGGCCAGGCAGCGCCAGGGGACAACTCAAAAGGCAGAGGCGTCCCTCGCTCCTGGCATCGCTCCCCAGGCCACAGCCTCCGGTGACGGAGAGGGACACGGTGGGGGACACCCACGGCTCAAGGACGGCGTGGGTCACCCTCCCGCCTGCGTCCCTTCGAGCGCTGTCACCCAAGGAGCGTCCTCCCGGCCACCCCGCCGGCTGGCACAGCCCCGGGGAGGCGACTTTCGGGATGGGAGCGGCGAGTCCGGTTACCTCGGAGGAATTTTGCGTGGCGTGCAATCTTTTGAGGGCTTTGCAACAACAGATAAGAGCAAGTGTCCTTCAGAATAAATAGCAGCGTGTAGGAGTTGCCGTCGTCTAGGCAACGCAGCGCGATGCGCCCGGCGCGGCGGGGATGCAACAGCGCGTGGAGGGGCCGGTGGCAGCCAGGGGCCACGGGCTTCGCCGCAGGACCCCCCCTTCCCTCCCCCTGCCACCCCTCCTGCTCCCCCGGCCCCACTCCGGCACCCTGCCAAAGCAAGAGAGATGCGGCCCAAAGGGCAACCCAGGGAGCGGGGACACATCCCGCCCGGAGGTCCTACCACCTTGTGTTTGACCCCCCCAAAAAAAAGCCGGGTTGCCCCACAAAAACCCGCCGTTCCCGGGGAGCTCCACGCCTCTGCATCGCCACACCGGGCAGGAGAGCGTCCGTTCGCCTCTCGGGGGGCGTGAGCACAAAGTCACCGCTGCTGGGAGGCTGGGAGGACGCCTGAGCTTTGCTGAGACATCAAATGGCACAAAACCCTCCTCCAGCTGCGCGAGCTGCGTCCCACCGGCCGGCGAGCAGAGGCAGGAGGAACCTTCGCCGCTCTCGGCACGTGGAATAACTCACCAACTGCACTCCACGGGTTGGGGGGTCGGTCGTAGGGAAGGGGATCAATCGGTCAGCCGTGCACGTAGCACCTGTCTGCCTCGGTTCGGGGGGCACGGCCCCAGCCCCGGCTGGGGTTATGTGCTGGATTGGAGGGATGCACCAGGCAGGGCTGTGACTATGCTGCTCGCTGAACCCTCTGGAAATCAGGATTTTGATTATTTATAACTGCCCCCATAAGCACACACACAACTTTTTTTCCATCGCAAAGAGAAATGAGAGGGGCAGGCAATTTTCATGTTATTTCTTCTCCCATCTTAGAGGTGAATGGGAACATTATGCCCAAATACTTCTCAAACTCAAGGAAAAATTCAACAAAACTCTGAATTGGGTTAAAAAAAAGAAAAAAGCAGCGGAGATATTTGAGAAGATGAAATCCCTTCTTTGCCCTCCTCATCCAAAGCCTTTGCTCCCGCAAACCACACCGCTCCCGCAGCTTAATGGATGGAGAGGCGGCCGTATTCTCACGCAGCAAGGGGAACTGCTACAAATATTTACCTGTGCTTCGCGAGAAGTACAAGAGCAGATTTCAAGGAAAGTACTTGGATAATTACAGGGATCATCCACGTTAAGTGCTCCAGGGTTGCTTTGCTGAGCCCAACCGAGCCAATCTCTGTTTTAAAGGTGACGGGAGTTACGGGCGTTGAAGGTGTTTCACGTGGAGCCATCTCAGCCTGCCCACCCTACGCGACACGTTTTAGAGTTCTCCCCAGTATGAAAACCCCTTCCAAATCCTTTCAGATGCAGCTGTTTGCTTTGAAGAGGAGGAAAGTCGGCACTTAAGACGGAGATTAATTTCAAGGAGGCAGGAGGACGTGAGCTCGCCGCCCTCTCCGCTGGTCGGGAAGAGGCTGCCGGGACGTTTTCGCGTCCGGAGCCGGCGCGGTGATGCTGCCCGGCTCCTCCGGCCTCACCGCCCTCACAGGCAGCGGCAACGTGCCTCTTGCGAAAAGCCCCACGCACCTTCAGCTCCTTCCCTGCCAGGAAAACCGGGATGCCCGAATCCCCCCCGCCGCCCCGACAGAGCTTCACGTAACAGCCAGAAGCCCCCCGAGCGTTTTGAGGAGCACACGCACGCAAGCGAAACGCTTTGGTAATTAGTGACCTCGGATTGCGGCAGAGCTGAAAAGGCGAGATTATCTCTGTCCTGGGATCACCTTATAAACAGGTGAAGCAGCAGCCTAGGAAAGGCAATGTCCTGGCCGTGAACCCAAACTCGCTGCCCCTCGGGCATCAGCCGGACCCATCGCCCCAGGGCTGCCGCGGCGCAGCCACGGCTCCCACAGTGCCGCGGCAGCTCGGAAGCACGCGCAAGGGCTACGCAGGCGCAGCGCGCTGGTTGCATCAACTACACGATGCTTCCGAATCAGTAAGGAGCATCGAGAGTTGCTTCGTGCTTTTGGAACGATGGAGCTGCATGCAACCGGCACAGTAGCCAAGCACGGTGTGGAAGTCGGACGGAAACCCACGGGAAAAGCAAGGCGCAGACAAAAGATGAGAGCAGTCAGGACAAATGGAGTAAAACCCCTCTTCTGCTGCCCTCCACACGCGTTATTTTGCATTTCTATCCACAGAGGCAGCCTGGCGCGGGCACCCCCAGGGCAGAGGCGGCCGCAGGGGCGCAGGGTCCAGCAGCACGACGGCAGCAAGACCTCCCCGAATCCGGGGCTGGCAGCACCCCGGTGCCAGGCTACTTCTCACGCTCGCTCTGCGCCATGCCCCGGTGAGAGCCAGAGCTTCCAGAGAAGCGGCCAACCCGCTGTAACGCCCGGGGTTTTAATTCATGTGGCTCCAAAGGCTGTGAAGCCCCAGGGCCGCTTCGGGATGCTGCCTCGGAAATCAGCCGCTGCCGCCTCTGCGCACGTGGTGCCGGGACGGAAAGCAGGAACATCCAGCACGGCCGATGCGCAAAAGGAGGTGCACGGAGTGGGAGGGAATCGCCTCTGCCCTGGGCCCAGGGACCCTCGGAGGATGGTGGCACCGCCAGCGAGCCCCGACGCTGCGGGCAGGACGGGGTTAATCCAGCGGCTGCAAAACCAGGCGACCGCTGTGCACCCAGAAATCCCCCGGTCTGGTAATCTGTCCGAGCAATTAACTGGGATCATGGCCACCGAGCGGCTCTGACAAACTGCAAAACACAAACCGTCAGCAGCTTGCACGCCGTTCGTGCAGAACCCATTTCCCCGAAGCCTCAAAAGGCTCACTCGAGCGTGAATCCCAGGGCAGCACCGGCGAGAGGTGCCTATTTGTGTCCCTTTCAGAAGGTACTTGTTTGCTCTCCAACACTGGCCCCTTTCTCCTCTGGCTGTGGAGACACTTCACAGGCAGCGTTAAATGCAGAATAGGCTGATTTTTAATGCAGAATTATACAAATGGAGCCATTCTTCCATTTCATGCCTCCTGTTAGGTAATCTATTGGTATTGCACAGGGAATCAAGGTTATGTCCTTGTTGGGATGATTTACGAACTCCCAGCATTTCCTATCTCCAAACGCCCAGCGAGGCAGAGACAAAAATATTCCAGCGAACGCCTGGAGCGCGAGTGGGAGCCATGGCCAGAGGGACGGGGCGACGTTCGCTCGTCCCAGGCAGTACCTGGCAGGAAAGCGGGCGCCACGCTCTAGGAAAAGCATCCTCGGCAGCGCGGCTGCGTGTCCCACAAAGGTGTTTGGAGCATGACACATCGTGAGAGCGTTTGCAGGAACTCGCCGGCTGGAGAAAGAACGAGGCCGCCGCATCTCAGCGGGTGACTTTCACGCTGGAGCAAGAGGAAGAGGGGAAAGTTTCGGCGGCGGCGGTGGCAGATACTTGGCCCGCAATCGCGCGTCCTCACCGAGGTGGGGACTGCGGACCCGGCGCATGCCGCAGCCGCTCTCCTCTCCAGCCCTGCTTTCGTGCATGACGATCCCTGCAGTGCAGCGACTGTCCTTTGTTGTGACACTACCAGCCATCACCATGGAAATGGAGCATCACCGTTTCGCCCGAACTGGACCCTGGTGCCTGGGCTGGGAGGAAGGAAGCTGGCACATTCCGGATGGGTGCCAAAAGGCACATGGCGAGTTACACCGTGGGATCACTGGGAGACCCCGGGGACCACCCCGGCGGGGCACCCAGCACAGAACCCACCACATCCCACCCCGCTCCCCCGGGAGCCGGCAGCGGAGGAGCGGGACCGCGGGCACCGCCGACCCGAGCGCCTCTCTCCTAAGCGGTATTTTGCTCCAGGACAAGTCGCTCTGAACCCAGACCCAATGGGACCTGGAAAGTTACTATTCACTGCACCGTCCGCAGCCCTGACTTCTTCCAAGATAATTATAAATTTGCGAAAACATGGCTGCCGAGCTCTTTAAAGCCAGGACTGGGAATTAAGGCACAAAAGCTGACACACAGTAGCACCTAGGTAAATTAAATGTGCCACATCACTACCTATCTATATTACAGAACTGAGCTTCAGGATTACCTACTAATAAAAGTGATATTTAAAACAAGTCCTAAGTTCCTCTGCTCTCCCCCTTCTCCCCACAAGTAATTAAACCGACACCGCTTCCCACGGCGGAGGGGATGGGATTTATCACGGAGGGAAATCAGCAGAGGGTGAAATAGGCTGAATCCTCACCACCACGCTTCCGTGGCCAGGCAGTCGGCACCCATTTCCCCAGGAAAACGGGGCAGAAAGAGGTGGCCGGGGCTGGGGAGCAGCGGGTCCTCCCCAGGACAGAAATGCCGAGATAGAGATGGCTGGATCCGTCCCTGCCTGCGCTTGGGGAGCCGCATCCCACGGAGCAGAGGGAGGCAGGAGGGCAGCCGTGGCGGAGGGGAGCTGCTCGCTCTTCTGCCTCTGTCTTGAGCTCACCCAGCTGCAAATAAACAATTTTAACATTTGAATAGCCGCGAGTGCGGAAGGCATAATTAATACCCAGCGGTACCGCCAATATGCTGATGCGGTAGGCGCAGACCCTGCCAAGGCTGTCAGGGAGCAGATCTGGCGCAGCAGTGCCGCGGCCCCGGCTGCTCTCGCCTTCGGGTCCCGTCCTTCGCCGGAGGCAGAGAAAGGGCAAAGCCCCAAGCGCAGCAGCCCCCGCGGGGCTGGAGCCCACCGGCGCGGGACCCCTCCGGCACGTCCCGTGCCGTGAGAAGCGGCACAGCCTTGCAGAGCGACGCGGGAAAGAGAAGAAAGGAGAAAAACGGAGAGGACAGGCGCACGCGGCGCTGCCGCAAAGGCAAAAGCACGTTTGCTCCACGTGCCTGGTCGCTGCCGAAGCCGAGCTAACCTTTAACCCCGGGTTTCAAGTTCAGTTCCCATTGCCAAAGACTTTAGAGGATGCCACCAGGACTAAGGCGAGCTCGGCGCCCGCAGCCGGCCCGAGGAGGAGCGCGAGAGCTCAGCTAACGCGGCGAGCTGGCGAACAACGTCCAAGACTGCCAGCCGAGTTCAACTTGCTCTAAAAAGGGCACAACATCTGCTGTAGAGTTCTTTCCCCGGTCTTGCGGGATTATTTCAGACAGGATCTGAAAAGCGCCAGGGGCGGGAAGCCCAGAAGTCAGCGTGCGCCTTCAGAGAAACGTCTTCAGCAAATTTCTGTGCGAAACCGGCGCTCGGCAATTCACCCGCTGCTGCTCCGGTGGAAGGAGCTCCACGCGCGGTCTAGCTCCTCCGGGAACCCCTGCAGCCCCTGGGGTACCACCAGAGCATCCCCCCCCCGGCAGGCACGGCGCGGCCGCCGCTTCCCCCGTCGCTGCTCGGCCAACCCAGCCGGCAAACACTGCGCGCATTTAGCGTGGCAGGGCCGGACAGTGGGGCATTTCATCGAACCGTCGGAAATAACACTCGGCTTTTGTCCCGCCCGGATAAAGGGGGTTTGTGAGCGCTGGCTTTCCAGCCCAAACCTGCACCTGTCACCGACTTATCCCACTCGTTCCCCCCCGAATTCTGCACCCGCGCCGAAGATCAGGCAGCAGCAAGAGCTTCAGTTCAGACACAACTTGCCGGGAAGTTTCTCTCAGATTTCCAAATCCACCAAAAATCTTGTCAAAGAGTCATAGCCTCGAGCTCCATTCTTGACGGTATTGAAAAAATCCCACAAACCTAAGGAAATCAGGGGGTTTTCCCCCTATTTTAGCTTCTCTCTGAACCTCCTCGCGTATGTCACCACCTCGTGTGTGGCGCAGAATCGTTTCCTAGACTTCGCTCGCTAACGCCTACCCGGGAGGTCCCCGGGCACGTGGGACCACGTTGCCCTCTCCCATCACCACCACGAGAGCAGAGAACACCTCCCCCTTTTACCAAATACACGTAAAAACCAGTGCCGCTGAAGGGAAGGGACTGCGGCATAGGCATCAGCGCCCTGAACCCGGGAGCTTAGAGATCAGCCCTAACGCTGTACAGAATAAATAAGGACGGCGGTTCGGTTTAGAGGCTCCCCGACGGGAGAAGGGTGCGCTTCCCCGTAGCCACAAATGAAGGAGCTGCTCGTTTCCCTGCTTTTCTTATGAATTTTCTTCCTTTGCCACATGCCCTTCCCCCGTATAATCGATTTGTGGACAAAGCCGGGTCTCTGCAGGACGATCAGGCCTCCTCCTCCGACAAAACGACCACGTCGGGGCGTACGAGCGGGATGCAAAGTCTGAGCGCTGTGGGATGGGACGGGACGGCAGGAGCGGCGAATGCCAGGATTGTGAAAATCCTGCCTGCTCCCAGGCTGGAGCGGGAGCCTTACGAGGGTTTTTCCTCCTCTAAAGCCCATATCCAAGGTGATTTCAAGAGACAGCAACTCTTTCAACCCAGCCCTCCGGCCCTGAAGGGACCAACAAGAGGAAGACCCTGGTACAAGCTACTGCTTACACCGCCCTTTAACACCACCACTTCACTGGTAAATAAGCCGCACACTTATCTTATTTTCTAAATTAATGTGCTCAAGCATGTCATTACAAGGTAGGCAGGAAATGCTTTGATCTAAAAAAATAAGACAAGTTAGCTCAGTACATATAAAGTAGCAGCTTAATGAGCTTTAAAACAATTAAAATAGGTCCACCGCATTGTTGTAACACAATACAACTGCGCAGGAGCCGCGCGTCGGAGGCCACCACTCTGCCCGCCGGGATATCCGCATCAATGGGAAATACCACCCCTGTGGAAAATACCCAAGGAGAAAATATCTCCCAGTGGGCTTTTTAATGACGATCTCCCAAAGAGCTCCACCTTCCTGGGAGCGAAGACAAGCATTGACCCCGCTGGAAACGCCTGGGCGACCGGCACAGGGCCCGGCCGTCCCCTTCCCGCAGGGAGGGCTGGATGTCTGCACGGGACTGCACGGTGCCTCGGGAAATCCGACCGACTCCGGTCCTTACTCCAGCACCGTGGTCTCCTGGCAGAGCTGCTCTCAGTTCACACCGGAGTAACCGAGATCCAAACCTGGCTTTCTCCCGGGAAGTCCCTGGCAGCCCAGGGATGCACAGCCCACCCCGAAACCTCAGCACGGGAACGAACACAGGGAAAGCATAAAGAGTTTCCAGAGCTCCAGTAACTCTTACGGAAATGGAGAAGATGAGAGAAATAAAGCCTCTAAAAGCAGACAGACAGACAGATGGCTTTTATGGCGCAAAAAATACAATAATAAAAAAAAAAAACTAGCAGCAGTGGAGCACTGTCTGAAGGTGTGGAACATCAATAGGAAAGCCTGGAGAAAGCAAAGGCACAAGAGCTGGGGTCCAAGGGAGGGGAGCGCAGCGCTGGGCATGGCATCGCCCGGCCAAGCCTCTGGCGTGGTACCGGGATGCTCCTGGCACCGCCAGCTCCCGAGCCAGAACCCTGCCCAGCCCCACAGTGGGCACATCCTGCTGCTGGAGAAGGCTCACAGGCTGACACGCTTCCCGGAGAAAAGAGAACGGCCCAAAAAGATGGAGAAAAAGCCAAACCAAAATAGAAAGCGAAGGTAGCGAGAAGGAAATCCGGGGCAAAGACTCTTGATCCTTTCATGCAGACGTTTAAATCCCCTTTTAGCACCGAACAGTCCCTTTCCCATGAAGAAGAGCGGTTCTCCCTGCCACGGCCACCTCACCACGCGTACAGCATCTGGGCAGCTCGCAGGCTCTCCCGCTCCGGCGGCCGCGGGAGCGAAATCCTGCCAGATCAAGGTGAACGTGAGTCACCAGAGGCACTCTCAGCGCCTAGAAAACACTGCGCTGTTTGTGGGCACACACCCTCCGGAGCCTAATTGCCAGTGAGTCAGATATCGCTGTGCTTTGCATCTCATTAAAAAAAAAATCCCCTTTGCAGGAGAGATTAAACTTTTCAGAGCGTTATCTCCAAAGGAGAGACGGAGGTCTCTGCCAGGCAGATCGGTGGCAACAGGGGACCTTCCGCATCCCGCACTGCTTTTCACAAACCTCTGCAGTTTATTGCATCTCCCGCGGTATCTCGGCTTCCTGCAAATGGCCCCCATGCCGGGTCTGCGTGCCAGCAGCCTCACGCCGCATGGGTCCGGACCTCCAGAAGGACAAAAGGGAAGAACGTGGAATCATACCCCTTGCCACCAGGTACCCGAGCAGAACATCCCCAAGGAACTGCCCGTAAGAAACATTTCTGTCCTCATCCATCAAAATTAGCAAAACTGATTGTGCCAGACAATATGGTCACTTGGACGGGAACTCGGAATACGTCCTGAATATTTCACATCGGAGGATGCTGAAGGGGTAGAGAGCCTCTTATGAAGCCAAGAAACAAGAAGATGAGTAACCCATCCTCATCTTTCCCAGAGAAAACTTAATAAGAAAACCCATGAAAGGCAACTACTTGTAGAAAACGTTTATTCATGCAGGAGCTCTTTTTAAAATAACGCTTGCCAGCATCTGAGATGGCAACGCTTTGCCCGTGTAATGCCCAGCTGCTGCGGGCTCAGCCGAGCTTCGGCTTCTGCCGGGGAGAGGCAGAGCCAACCGCACTCCCGGCGGGAAGCGCGGCCACGTGGCCTCAGCTCCCGGCATTAATCACCCACGTTTCGGTGGGTACTTAAGTGGATGTCCTAATCCATGTCAATTAACTGACGCTTCATTACTCGAGTCCTGCAGACGGAGGCAGAGATGCTATCGCAGGCACCGGGAGCAGGGCCGGGGTCACGCACGGGACTCCGGCAATTAGAGGAACGCGTCCCGGAGGACGCCGCGCGTGCCGCGGGCTCGGCTCGCCGGGCAGGGTAAATCCCGGGGGCCCCCCCTGACCTTGCCACATCTTCAACCTGAATGACACGCAGTCAAGTGGCGACATCAATTAGCGCTGTTTGCTCTTAATGGAGCCTCAAATGCTGTCTGCTGAGCAACGAGCCCTCAGCCCTCCCACACCGAGCCACGGCTACGCGGCCACGTTTTCTATTCACAGGGCCACCAGCCACAGCTGGAGCGGGTGTCACAAGGAGATTCTCCTGAACACCCCGGGGATGCTGCAGAAAGGGAGCCACGGCCAAAGCCCCTTACAGATGGGAGCAACTGATCCTTGCAAGGTGGTAGCTAAACTCCACCAAACCGCTCTCCTGCGCAGAACAGCGCAGTCCCTTGCACGGCGTGTGCTGCTCCGCCGGTGTCCCAAGGCACATGGTCACCCCCCCTCACCACGGGTCCCTGTGCCAGCATATCCCCATCCCCATCCCCATCCCCTCGCTTCTCGCACGTCAGTGCACAAACACTCTGGCAAGCTCCAGTGTTTCCACCTCAAGGGTCCGGACTTGTATTTCTCTTGCAGGAAGCAGGTCACAGCTCCCAGGCTACGTGTTGCTCTTGAAGGAGCTCTCGCTCAGCCTTTATTTGGAAGCCAAAAGAGTTTGCAACGCTCGCACCCCAGCCAGGCAGAGAAAAGCTTCACCGCTCCCACCTCGCAACGGCCAAGCCTTGTCCCACGGACAGCTTCACCTGGGGCTAAGAGCAGATTCGCTTTTGCCCCCCATAGCAGCATGCAGGATCGGGCAAGCCGGACACTGCTGGAGCGCACCAGCAGCCACCAGCAGAACGGACACAGCACCGCTGGGGACGCGACAAAGCTTCCAGAAAAGCAGAGCTGCCGAGAAGGACCTTCAGAGCAAAATTAAACAAAAATCGTCGCATGTTCAAGTATATCTCCCGCCTACACATCGTTTCCAAGTCACAGTGAGACATTCTGCAGATCAGAGTTGAAAATGAACACTTTATGAATGATGAGCTTTACTTTTTTATACTTTTTTGTTTGTTTTTTTTTCCAAGTCCATTTAATTTCTCCAGGACAGCCAGCAAAGTTGGAGGGCTGGGGAAGCCTCTGCCGCTGAATTTTGGTGGGGCGCTGGCCCAAAGGCGGCCAGCGGTCTTGGAGAAAAAACCAGAGCCAGGCTCAAAGGCCTCACTGGGGATGTACGACCTGCCGCTCTGCCAGCAAAGACCTCGGGCGAATCCCCGGCAGGCGCTTCAGCCTCCCGCCCCGGGGCACTCAGCGCTCGCTGACCCCGTCCCTGTGCTTATTTCCACACAACCGCCCATCCATCTCCATGGCAAGCCATCTTCCTTTTCCTTTTATCGCCGTTGCTTGGTACCAGAGAGGCTGACTCACTCGGCGCTGACGAGAGGACGCATCCTCCCGCGCCTGGGGTTACCGCCGCAGGTCTCCATCTTGCTCCGTGAGCGTCGCAGCCAGCAGCCCTGGACCCGCGCGAGAAGCGCCGGAGAGAGACGGAGCCTGGCCAAAAAAACGCCCCTCGGTCCCCGCTGCGGCTCCAGGCAAAGGCATCCAACGCCGCACTGAAAGGAGGCTTAAGCGCGGCTTCTACTCGCAGAGCCGCTGGGGCCAGAGAAAGGCATTGATAAACCCAGAAAGCAGTAGCAATTCAGTGGCAGGCAAAACCTCATTTCAGGAGGAATCCTCATAAAACCAAATTAATGTTGAAGGATGAAGGCAGGTAAACCTCCCACAGTTAAGTTCAGGCCACAGAGACTCAGTTTAAATCTCCCAGCAGTTCTGATTTAATCAATGCATTTCAAAGTGAAATTAGATGAAGTACATCTCCATCACAGGAAATTATGTAAGCTATCAAAGTCTGTAGGTGCAGGTCCCAGTAAGAAGAGCCACAGGAAATATTCATATCAACTCAAGTTCCATTTTTAAGGAGGCAGCTGAGGTCCAGAGTTTTACGTTATTCCAGTGAAAAAATTCACTCTGGTAAAAACCGTGCACCCGAGGCAAAGAAGGGCCAAGCGGCAGCTTTGGGAGCATCCCCCAGGAAACCCGCGTCGGCCGCCGGGTCGCTGGGCTTGGCCAGGGAACCCCCTCCCAGCGGGACCATCCAGCATGGGAAGGACGGAAGGAAAACCCCTTTGTTTTAAAGGAGGGGGTGAAAGCGCCAACGAGGCTGCTCCACCCTCCCCGCTGATCCCGCCCAACACAACTTGGCTTCCAGGAGCTGCCCCCCTGGAAGAGTTGTGGTCTCAAACCCAAACCCCGTTGGGCCCGAGTTGCTGTAACCCGCTTCATCGCGCCCAGCCCTTAACGAGAATAACGGGGGTACCGCAACCCGGAGCGGAGCAGCTCCCGCTCCTCCGGCTCAGCATATTGATTCCCGTAATCTTTCCTCCCAGTCCTTCTCCTATTAGCTGTATTTAAAGGCTTAAGCATGCATACATTTCCATAATAAACCTCAGACCTGTCGGAAGTCACATGGATTATTCACACCCTACGGAGCTGTCGTGCGAAGCCGCTCTCGGTGCTCTCCGCTGCCCTGCATACATACGTATAGATACAAACGTAAATAAGCCGTGCTGGGAGATCTGGCGGATCGGACTCGGATGAGGAAAGGTGGGAAGGAGGTTATCGGGCCAGCTGGAGAGCTGGTCTCTCCCTCGCTGTGTTCCCCTTTACAGGCTGGGCTTTGAAGGAAAACTAGCGACTCCTTATTTTCAGCCAACGACCGGTAGGTAAAGCAAGCCCCAACCGCGGCGCTCCGACGCCTGGAGCGGCAGGGCGGGCGGCGTGGGGCAGCCCCCGCAGCACCCAAGGCGAGCGGCCGCTCCGCGACCGCGGCAGCTCCCATCCGTCACCCCGCCGGAGACGCCACAAAGGCAACGCGGCGGCAACGGCGGCTCCGGCGTTATTACAACAATTATTCATGCTCTGGGGAAGAGGCTGCTGAAGACCAGCGCCGCTCCCTTTGCCTCATCTGTGAAATTGCTGCCGGTTAGGAGGTACGAACCGCTGCATAAAAGTGCAGTTTATTCAAGCATTATTGTGGCTGTTAAGTATCATAGCCGGTGACACTAGATGAATTTCTGTGGCAATCAATTCACCCAGGAGCAGCCAGCTCAGCCCCTGCGTGGATGCGGGATGAGTAAGGACTCCTCAGTGGAGGCCATTAACTCCCACTGCTTACTGCTCTCATTACTTTCCAGACTGCAAGGCTTGCATCTTTGACGAGCGGCTGAATCTACATTTGACAGCGTGAACTTGACGAGTGAAACGCACGGAAAACGTTTGCTTTGGCAGTAACTACAAGGCCCATAAAGTTTCCTCAGTGCCAACGCGCAGGGATGTATGCTTTTAATGAGTTGTTCTATGCAAGCGGGAAGAAATTGCAAACAGCGTTTTTACTCAGACTGCAAATCACTCCGGAGCTAAATGCTGTAAAAATCGTGGCATATCGTTTAAAATAGTGTATTTGTAGCTACGGAAGGGAAGTCCTCAGCCAGAGCTAGAAGCCAGGCAGGCGGCACGCTGCAGAAGGCTGTCGTGCCCTTACAGGCAGGCGCAGGCACTGACGCAGACGTATGCACGCACACGTATGCCGGTGCACGCTCAGGAGGCGGCGGAGTAGCTGCCGTCCCCCCCAAATAACAGACCTTTGCCCTGCAGCACCCCCGCCCGCCCCCGCTGCGCTGCGAAGGGCAGAGCGGATCTGGAGCATCCCCGGGACCTCGCAGGGGCTTCAAGGGGCGACGCCGCGCGCCCAGCCCCGCTCCTCGCCCCGCTCGGAACCGGGGGAAGCGCAAGCTCCCCTTCGCGAAAGCAAGGGCGGCGTAATTCCGAGCGACGGGGGTTTAGCAGGGCTTGCCCTCCCCAGCTTCAGAGCAAGGCTCGCCCGCAAGGTCACGCCGCTGCCGCGGGGCGAGAGGAATCCGGCTGGAAAGGAGCAATAAGGTACCATCTCCCCGTGGCAGCCGGCAGCTCCAGGCAGAGACCGTGTGGGGCGAAACGGGCGCTGGAAAGGTCTGCTGCTTCTCTTGGAGCTATTTTTCCAGCAGTCTTCACGAAAATGAGGGGAAACGACATGGGAAATGTCAGAAATAAAGCCAGAAGCAATTAGAGTTAGAGAGAAGCGAGAGCAGCAGGCAAGGTTAGCAGTAAAGTTATCTCTTATTAAAAATAAAACGCGGAGGGACTGGAAGCTGATGAGGTGGTACAGAGGACAGCCTGGCGCTGAGGATCCAGGAGACACAGCACAGAGATTCGCGAGGCGAATCGAGGAGAGAAGCGACCGAAAGGCTCCTGTTTTCACTGCTAAACTCTTCGCAAAAATAAAAAAGCAGAGGGCGTCCTCTGTTTCCAAGATTACAGTCTTCTGCCGGCTCCAGCCTCAGGAAAAGAGCCCTCCAGCTCCACCGGGCTTTTTGTCTGCCACACAACACATCCAAAGGCGAGGCACCCTGAGAACCCTCTCGGGCACCTTCCCTAGGAGGAATTCCTACGGTCCCTACATCGCCGCACACTCCCCGGAGACTCTCTCCTTCCCACCACACGGCAGCGCATCCTCGGCAGACGGACGGACGGCTCCGGCGGCAGCGGGAAGGCGCTCGCGTGGCCGGGCCGTCAGGGTGCGTCGGCCGGGAGCAGGGGACGAGGCCGGGGGCATCGGGAGCTCGCTTGCCACGTGCCTCCGGACTATGCCACACGGCACCGGCGAGCGTAAAACAAAAGCCGAGGGCCTCCCCCCAGCTCCGAAAAAACCCTCAGTTCAAGTTTCACCCTCCCGGACTCCATCCAAAGCCCAGGCAGAGGAAGCGAGCCGCCAGCGACCCCAAAGGGTGTCGGACGAGGGCCTCTCGCATCACCCGCATCCCGCCCGCGGCCCCTGCGGCGTTCGGGGGGCCCTGCCCGCCTCCCCTCCCGCACCCCCAAAGCAGCAGCCATGTTCTGCCGGAGCGCACGGGCGCGGGGAGCGGAGCGGGCTGATGGGCTCCCCTAGTTGCTGCGCGGGGTAGGGCTGGCGGCGGGGCCGCATCCGTCCGCTCGCCCCGCAGCCGTCCGGGGTGCCGAGTCCCGCTCCCCGAGGAGCGCCCGCCGGGCCCGGTGCCATCGACGGGAGCGGGGACCCCTCGCCCGGGGACCCCTCGCCCGGGGACCCCTCTCCGCAGCGGCCGGACCCTCCGCGCAGCCGGCGAACGCGAGGACGCGTTCCGAACCGCCGTCCCGCTCCGCAGCGGGGAAGCGTGGGGCAGGCGGTGGGGGTTTGACCCCCGCCCCATGGGCACCGCCGGCCGGCCCGAAGCCAGGACTTTCCAAACACAGCACCGGGTGGGGAAAGGGGGGGGGGCAGAGGAACGGATGGCGGGTCTCAACGGCAGCAGCGTGGTCTTCCTCACGATCTCACTTGTTTAACGCGCTGCCGCAAACAAATGCCTTCCACCGAGAGAGAGAGGCTGGAGAGACCGAGCGCCAGGTACTGCTGCGGGGGCAGGCGGGCAGGGCGCGGGCAGGCGCCGGGTACCCGGGCTTCTCCCCCCGCCGCACCACGGAGCC